CCCCAAAACCCCAAAACCCCAAAACCCCAAAACCCCAATAAAATTTATAAAAAATGAATCCTCCCCAGTCAAAAATACTAGACATTAAGAAGAGCATACAGGTAGGGTTTGGAAGGGGGTTAGAGGGGGAGATGGGTTTAAGGGGAATTTAAGGGGGGTTAAGGGGGTTAAGGGGGTTAAGGGGGGTTAGAGGATGGTTTTTGGGGGATTTTAGGTGAAGGAGACTGGGAGAGAAGGGTAATGGTGGTTTAGAGCATACTTCAGAAGGAGAAAGAGAAGAAAAATAGAGTTTTTACCGATGATTTATTGGAATTTTCGGTGAAGAAGTCTTAATTGCAGACGAAAAGTAATTGAATTATGTTTATAAGTGTAGGAGGAGAGAATATATTATGAAGAAAGATTATATTTTAAAAGTGTTGTAAGTTAGATGGGATTCAAAGTTGGAAGAAGGCTTAAGTAGAATAAGAAATTTTTATGAGTGTTTATTTTGAGATTATGTATAAAAACTGATACTATTGAATTTTTGAAGAAAGTTTTTAATTTAATTTGTATAGATTTCCTAGGATGAAGCTGCAAGGTATGCCATAAAAAGAATTTTTGTAGGGGATTTAGAAAGAGATGAATATGCAGAGATGAGAGTTTTGGAAAAATTCAGAAAGTCGGTTGATAAGTTAGAAAAGTTTAATGAGGTCTTAAAGTAACAAATCTTATAAAATTCTAACCCATCTAGACCAAAAGTCCGATTTAAACTCCAAAAGAAGCAGAAATAAAAACCTCCTAAACACAAAACGATTGGCAAAACAAATGAAACCTTTTTCTAAAAGTATGGCTACTCTACCAAAAATTAACTCGAGAACTGAGACTAAAATCCCAAATCTAAAGCTAGGAAATAAAGCTGAGTAAGCTTCTTCTTAACTTATTTTTACCTTCTAACGTATATCTTAGGATCCTGAAATGTTTAGACGAGTTGACTAAGCCAATCCGTAGTGTAAGATAGTTCCTTCACCAATAGAGGACAGGAAGATATATGAAATATTCATCAACGTAAAAAGTAATTCTAGTAGTAAACCTTCTCTTTCATACTTCATCACAGCAATTTTGGCAATTAGGGTCATTTAGACCACTGATTAACTCACCTCGCTCTAGATTCTCCTTTTTGATAATCTATCGTTTAAAAGGCTCATGGAGGGTTAGTCTTTAGGTCTGTATCATAAACGGTTCTAAAATGCCTTCCTTCGGACCCAAAGATTTCAATGTAAAATTAATTTATTGGGGTTTTGGGGTTTTGGGGTTTTGGGGTTTTGGGGGGTTTTAAGCTTAGTATAAATATGTCTTATGGCATAAAGGTAATTGTAGATTTAAAGTAATTGAGAGTATCTTTAGGTTTCGTATTGTTTATGATAGTTTAAAAATTTACAGATTTTACATAAATAATAAGCTTTCAAAAGATGCTTAAAAGCATTAAGCTTTATAATAGGTTTATTTCAGTTCAAATATCTCACTCAAAGAGTTGCTTACATATATAAACTCTTTGAGCTTCAGTTCTGGCAACAGATATTTCTAAAGTACCCAAATTTTAAGGGCTTAGCTTTTTTCTGTGAAAAAAAGTAACCATGTTTTCACTCAAAACTCAAAAGAGATAGATAAGGTTTTATACTCTAAATGATTGTGATTAGCCTAGCATAAATCCTCTATTGGGAAAACTACTAGAGATCACATTGCATTCTTGATAAGAGTGATTACAAAGAAGCTTACTACTTTCCATCACTTTCATGTTTATTATTGAAGAGAATTACCAACTTAGAATACATAACAATAACTCTTTATTTAGATACAACAATGAAGAAAGCTGAAGAATGAGTTGCATGTTTCAAAGGGAATTAACAGAGTCTGCAGAAGGAACTCATACGTGACCTGCTGACCTTTAAATAGCTCGTATTCTAAATGTCAACCGTCTGAGGAAGACTCTCCTTACAGAAACACTTGTTTTGATGCATCTTATCCATCCTTCTTTAGGTATTCAGTTTGTCCTTATGATTCCCAACAATGAGGGGACCAACAAATAGTTTTTGATAATTACTCTCAGTCTAAAAATATTACTGTGACCAATATGCTTGATGAATCAGTCTGAATTTACAGGTTTTCAAGAACAAAAGACGCTTATGGGCGAGGAATCGTTATAAAAATCCATTCTGCATCAAGTGTTGATTACCAGATCTTTCATAATGGGCAAGAATCATGAGACCCTTTGGCATGCGAATTCAAGGTGAATAAAATCAGTCATGAAAAGTATATCTGGGTGACAGTCCTCTCTAATTCTGCCAATTCTACTGTGACAATTGAAGCCAATCTTTCCAAAGTAGAGTTTACTTTTTGGACAATTGTTCTTGTATGAGTGGCAATAATTACAGTCATTACTCTCATAGTATGATTATGTTCAGCCTTCTTATGAGTCTACTGAGGATGGTGAAGCAAAAATGATTCTAAAAACAGTAACAATAATAACCAAATTGAACTCCCAGGACTTGCAGAGCTTGGCCATCCTCAACTGCCCGTTGAGTCCCAAGTTGGACTAGCTCAAGCCCAAGTCCCTCCAAGAATGAGCTCAAGAATTAATCATAGAAGGACTAATGCGTATAGGGATGTCTTCCATAGAGCTAGGACTGACCTTACAGCTTGAAACAGTGAAACACAATAAAGCTGTCTTATTTTTGAAGTGTCCTCTTTATCTCAATTTTAAGACTTCTAAAAGGGGTTTTGGGGTTTTGGGGTTTTGGGG